AAGTTATGTTTGGTGTTTCATGATATATATATATATATACATTATATTAATTTAGGTCAACGGGAATTTATTGATTTATTGACTCTCCGAGTGCATTTCTATAAGGCTGATCTGGGAGTGGAAGATTTTGCAGTCCTGTTCCCAGGCGGCCGGTGGAGAAGGGAGCCACCATGGAGGCCTCCGCATCGGAGAGGGCCAAGCCGGCATGTGCCGCACGAAGGCCACCGCAATCGTTGCCACCGTCCCCGGCCATGCCGACGACCAGGCCACGGCCTTGCAAGTACTTCACCACGTTGATCTTGTCATCGGGCTTCATGCGGGCAAAGACCACGCAACGAGGCCACAAGCCTTCCAGCTGCTTCTTCTCTTGGTGCAAATAACGCCAGGCTGAACATGTCAAGGCCAGCTGGCAATGAGGGTCCGGGAACTCAGGCGAGACTGAACGGCCCTCGTTATCCGGATCATTCCACACCAATTTTCCATTCTCCATGGTGCCGCGCAAGCAAATGGATGATGTGACAATTCCACAAAGCCTGCCAATGGCAATGCCAGTAAGTTCATTATCACCGGTGCAAATCACTGAGCGTACAGAACCCTCTTTCAAGCTTTCAATCGCATCAGGTGAGTCAGCCTTCATCTCATTTCGGAAGAGCAACAGGCCACAAATGCTCACATCCCGTTCAAGGAGCTCGCGTGGCAGGTTGCGCACTTGCTCATCTGACATTGGACCGAGATCTTTGTTGGAGATCCCTAAAGTGTAGTAGTTTTGCTTGGCACACTGCATGGTGATCTGATCATAATTTGGAGGCACAGTCTGCGGCAAGGCCAGCGACTTGATCTTCTCATAGCTGCCTTTGATGAACACCTCCAGGCGTTGGTTGCCATCTCGCACCACAGCCCCGCTGGTCATGCTGTGATGGTCAAACTCGAGCTCCCTCACGATTCGCAAGACCTCGCCCTGGGGTGAGGTCATCTGCTGCTTCCCCAAGTTCCAGCCAACCGTCCGGACCATCGCACACTCCACTTGGTTGCCGACCAAAGCACCTGTGCTGCCCAGTTGCTTCACAGTGTGGCAAGTAGCAAGTCCTCGTCGCAACACTGGTGGCACCACCGTTGGGGTGTCGATAATGGTACGGTTCTCCTCACTCTCGGGATCCATGTCGTCGAACTGCACCTTGTCGCTGAAGCGTCCTCCGCTGACACCGTATACTCCAGCAAAGTCCATGCCTCCTTTAGTAATGGTGCCCGTTTTGTCGAACACCATGGTTGAGATTTTGCCAGCGATAGGGATCCTCCCGGGCTGGAGGCACTTAATCTGATACTTTCCTTTGGGATCATCAAGACGTCCGGCAGACACAGATTGGCCCATGACCATGGACACTGGAAGCATGGGGTTCAATGCCATCGCCACAGTGCATAACACGGTGAGATATGTAGCCACAGCAGAGCCAATGTCAGAGCAAGTGAGGAGCACAATCACGATGATGGCCACATAGATGCTCATTAGCCCGTAAACGATTGGAAGCTGGTCGTTGTACTTGAATTTCACGCTCGCAGGGAACAGCACCATTCGAACCAATTGGCCGCGAGTTGTTAACGCTCCAATATTGGTACAGTAAAGTATTGACTTGCCTTCACCAGGCCCTGTTGACTCGAGAGCCAGGGTCCCAGCATAAGCTCTATTGAGCTTGTCCGTGACTCGGTAGTTGGAGCTGTTCTCAACGGGAGCTTTGGCAATAGGCATTGGCTCTCCTGTGAGCATGGACTCATTCACAATCAGACTGCCTTGCAACAAGATCCCGTCACACGGCAGCTTTGCATTGTTGCCATCCTGAACTTGCACAATGTCTCCCAAAACAATCTCAGAGACATCTATCTTCTGCCACCTGCCCTCTCTCAGCACGATGCAGTTCTGCTTCATGGCTGCCATCTCGGCAATCTTTCTTTGATTGGGCCGAACGATAAACAGAGCCCGGTAGAGACCAGAGCCCAGCATCATGAAGAGCCACACAAAGCCAATGTTCCATGTGGAGTACGCGACGTAGGCCCAACTGCCAATAGAGTTGAAGATGTAGGTAAAGTCAGAGAACTCTGATCCCAAAGCCTCCAGAATGCCTGGCACATGCACGTGTATGGAGTTTGATCCGCAAGCTGCCAAGGACTCAGCTGCAGCTTCATTTGACAAGCCACCTCTTGCTAAGGTAGCATGGGCCTCCGGTGGATTTGCCTCTATCAAACCGATTGGAACAAAAGATCTGGAGTCCTCACTGTAAATGTACCGCACACAAGTGTACTCTACATGGCGGGTGCCATCTTCATCCTCCTGGATCTTCATCACTTGACGAGCTTTTGCTCGCTTCACCCGCTGTGTGCAACGTGCCATCTTCTTAGAAATCCAGGAGTCCTCTGCCTGTGTCTCATCTGGGTCTGCCACATCATCGGGGCCAACGTAGACTTGCTCATCCACAATGAGATGCGTCGCGTCCTCCATGTTGCTGCATGGAAGCATGGAGTGGGCGCTCATGGCGGTGTAAAACTTCGAAGCCACCCCTGCGCTGATGTGGACAATGGTGAACCAAACGCACCAAGGCAGCATGAGACCATTCCAGGAACTGGCATGCGGGGAGGCAAAGGTTTCTTTCCAATAGTCAACTCCAGGAGGAAATGGAATGCCATCGGAGATCACATAAGCAATGTAGCAGCCCCACATCATGACCACATACCCAGCCAAGGGCAAAACAAGCCAGCAGTATACGCAAATTGTGCCACAAAGATTGCTGCGGTAGCCGTACTGAACGAAGTTCCTGGGCACATTGTCTGGGGAGTGAAAGACCAGAGTCTTTCCGAAGCCACCACTTTCCTTGGTGCATCTTTGGCGAACACGGATGGCCACCCTGTCCCGATAGAAATGCCAGCAAGTGGTTCCAAGCGCAAGCACTGCCACAAGGCCCAGCTGGCCCCAGATCAACCCACTACTCAGGTTCATTTTGGCAAACGGCTGAACTCCAGCTCTTTACAAAAGGAATTGAGCAACTAGTTTGCTGCAAGGTCAACACGACTTTCATACGAGGTACATGCCATAATCTGCGCAAGGATCCATCTCAGGGATGAATTGTTTCTTGTTTTGTTCTCACATGCTCACCTCTCCACTCAGCCTGTGAAACTGGTGAAGAAAATAAGCGAAAAAGTGAGACGAGTGGGGTGAAAGATGTGAAAGCCACCGGAAGCGTTGCATTGCCAGATTCGATCGCTGCTCGAACAAATCTATCCAACACTGTTTCTCACGATGGAAATGTATTGAAGGTTGCCCGGGCCTGGCTCAACCTGAGAGACCATACAAGACAAGTTTGTGACATCTTGTAACTTTCTTCGTCTATTGGGCATTTCAGATTTCGGGACAATCAGGGCCCTTGCCTGGTTTTATGCCCACTCACTAAGCCTTGCAAACTGCCATGATTCACAAACTCAGCCAAGGGTGCCACTCGCACAAAAGTTGAATGCCCTAGTGAGCACATGTCTGCAAGCGAACCCGGCAACTTGCAGAAAAAGGAAAACATTGCTGCCATTCGCCGGCACATGTCTCAACGCAGTCCTACAAGCCAATCAAGTCTGCCGCTTTGCTTTTTAAGCAAAGGTTGGCAAACAAATACGAGCTTTCCGACTCAGGCACCTCAAATTAAAGCAGCTGCACCTCGGGGTCAAGCACAAGTTGCCCGCTGCAAATACTGCTAAAATACGTGAAACAGGTTGAGGCAGCCACCATAAGCCCGATAGGGATCTGCACAGCTACCCGGCTGGAAAAGCATGATGCCATCCTGATTCACAGCACTACTTGACCAGGATGGCATCGGCTTCTCTTGGAGAAAACATGCGGATTAGCAAGGGGTAGTCAAGTGGCCTCCAACCTACTAGTAAGGCCAGGAGCCCCTAGAAGCGTCCTTGCTCCTAGTAGCGATGCCAGGAGCCCCTAGAAGCGTCCTTGTTCCTAGTAGTCAAGTCGACCTATGCGGATTCTGGTTGTCATGGCCTATGTCAGCCTGAGTGCAACACGCATTGAAGCCAGTACTGAGTTGCGGCAGTCCGCCACAGCAAACAGGCCTCAATCATGAGTTTGCGCATTCTATTGATGTTTGCGCTTTCTTTTGCCATTGTTCTACTTTGAGTATTTCTTGCTTCCATCATTGCTGCGCTGGTTTGGCGGACTGTTTTTTTACCGTTTTCCCCGCGGGCTCGCCTTTTTCTACCACACGCGCGGTAAAAGCATTGAAAATCAAATGGCTTTTTACCGTTTTCTCTGCCTAGCGAGCGGGTACTCCTTAGCAGAACAACGCACGCAAAACCAGCTTAGCATGTACCAAGGCTTGAGCCGCATGAGCCGGCACTCCTCCTGCTGCTGCTCTTCGATCCTGAGCTTCTGGCACTGATGCTGCACTTTTGTCACCAAAGCTTTAAATGTGAGATGAGCAGGCGTTCATATGCCAGCCACACGCACACATAAGGAAGAATGATCGAATGCTAGGATGCAGGCGTTGTACATCTGCACAGCCTCCGTCAGCTGCCTCCAAAGTGCCCGCTATTTATCACTGGCTGAGTCCCAGTCAAACAAGTCACCACGGCCTGTGCAGCTGCTCCACTTCCACCTGAACATTAAGTCAAACAGCGCAATAAGTCCTGGTTCTACCATCTATTCCGCAGCCTGCGTGCCATTGGTCCATGCACCATGAAGAAGCCCAAACGAGTCAGGTTTCGAAGTGTCCAAGATCGCAGCCTCTGTGACTCATCCCGTCCCTCACTGCATTCTCCTATTTCACCCATCAGTGTGTGCTTTTATTATCCGTTATTCTGGGCCGCAGGCCACGCGGCAAATCAAGCGGATCACGCTCTCCGAGTCCCCAGTGACCCCGGCACACACCATGCGCCTTGGTCGGCAAATCCTGCGCCCCTGAAGCTGTCAACAATCACGCAAATTGATGTGGAGCACCTGGAGCACCCTTTTCGAAGCTACGATCTCATCGCAACTTGTGACACAACCGCGCACAAGTTTACACACTTGATGTGCTGGTTCCTGGACAGCAGGCGTATGGCAGCACACTCCTTGCCCTTTGTTCCTTTCGTCGGGCGAATCGCATTGGGAGGTGCAGCTTCTCACTTATCCACCTGCTACTCCTTCTTTGTGGAACTCCTTTCAATCCATAGACTTAAAAGGCTTGGCCTCTTCACTAAACCAGCAGCTTGTTCACTTGTTCTCGACTGCTCTGGCTCAAGCTTCTCCTCACCAACAGCTTCTTCTCTCCGGATGCTGGCTCACTTTGAAATCTTCCAAGACCGTTTGCCTCAGTCCACGGGTGGGTGTACACTGGGATGAGACTGGATACGGCCAGTATACAATCCATCCCCGCTGCAACATCACTGGTCCTGGTTCTGTGCATTGGGAGTTAAATGCAGCAGTCAGGCAGGTGCTGCCTGGCTGCTGCCCTGTGTAGATCCATACAGTGAAAAGAGCTTGTGCATCAAAGGAGCAGGGTTGTTGCTAGTAGGGCTGTGGCGTAACACGCGGGGAGAGATAACAATAATGTATGGTAGGATGCGGTGGTGCGTGCTGAGCCGGGTTGTCTTGCTACGTGCTTTATCTTTTCACGCTGCAAAGCCATACCTGCCAACGCTTTGCCTGCCCAAGCTGGCCTCAGTCTCAGTTCGCTTCTGGCAATTTTTTGAGAAAAGGCCTCGTGCATGTTTGCGTACAAGTTCGTTGACATCGGCAGGCAAAGCTTCCCGCCAGAAGGGACAATCCATTTGAAGCTTCAGGAAATGCAACTGGCTGTGAGAGGAGCTGCCCAGCAAAGGAGAGTTTCAGCCTGGCTAGTGAACTTGCAGTGTCTCCCCTTTTGAGGGGCCTCGCCTGCTTCATTAGCTTCATCAATGGAAGCGGTCTGGCCACGATGTTGTATGCAAACATATGCAAGCAGTTTGCGCGCTTCGCGCTAAAGTGACAACTATACGCAGTTATACATGCCTCTGTGTGTGAGTGTGTCGCCTCTGCAGGCCTACGCAATGCCAGGATATGAATGCCCAAGGGAGGTTGACTCAGGAGAAAATGGCGAGAGCAAAAAAACAATATAACCCCAGCCTTCGATGAGCGGCAGGCTACTAGGAAAGCGAGCCTATGCAACATCAAGAGCAGCTCCATTTTGATGATTAAACTCCTTCATAAACAAATGGAACCTTCTCAAGTTATCTTTTGGGCCCACATCAGCCGTGTAGGGCGAGTCGAAGGGCAAAACGAGAGCGATTATAATTAGAATGAACACTGCGCGCCGCATGCTCCATACCTGATTTTGCTCAGCAAACCTTGCACAACGCAAGGACCAAAGCCAGGACTCTATGTTCCAAAATGTCCCAAAGCTTGAACTATGTAGCTATAATCTTTAAAATGAATCTAGAACATTCTGGTCGAATCCTCCCACACTGGGCACCATGCGTCTGCTTGGCAATGGACATGTCTGGTGCCCCCAGGATCGCAGCTCCCAGGGCCCAGCCGTGTGAAGCCAGATCAGTGCTGGAGTGAAGCGCTGCCAAGTACAATGAATCCAAGTCAGCTAGTTTCACATCTCGCCAATTCCTCAAGTGTGCCGCCAATAATGAATTACACAAACCCCAAACAGTTTCCTAGGCAAAAGTTGCTGCTGTTGATGGCAAAAACTGTAGGTTCATGTAATGGTAATGGGGCAATGGGCTGTAGGAGCCCCGGACAAAGCATCGACAAGTGCGGACACCCCGAGCAACATAGAAGGACAATAGGTGGAGGCTGACCTATGGATGAACGAGGAGGCAAGTTCTGTCGGGACCAGTGACGAGCAGGGTGCCAGAATTGGGATGCATCCTGCATCCTCCCGTGGTTTGGTCTTGGTGGATGATAAATATGGGACTCGACAAGCTAAGCAAAGTGAAGAGTACAGTACCAAGGTAGACAGCTGGACTGGAGCATAGACGATGAAATAGTAGAGAAACAAGTCGCAAACACAATCAAAAGGTTCGGAGTATGGGGAGCAGCCGGGCGCAAAGGTAACCGATAGGAAAGGGTACAGCACACTGTACACCAAATGTTTGTTGCTTTGTTGAACCTGAAAATGTTTGGAATTCAACACAAGAGTCCTCCAAAAGAAACGAAAACGTTCAACTATCCCGAAAAAACAAAGAGATGAAAAAACGATAGATGTTATAAAAATGCAGCATGCCCCCCCGCTGTTATAAAGATGCAGCGTATCCCGCACAAGATCGCAGATTTCACCGACCCGCAACCACCAGAAACCACATGAAAAAGCCACCGATTCACCATTCACAAGAAAGTGCCATCGACATCCAGCGATCTACACAAGTACACCTTGAGTCAGGCGAGAATGATGTAAGCCACCATCAACAGCACATCTGAGCAACTCTTTCACACAACGCTTGTATCACATCCAGCAGCAATCCGGCGGTTTCCGACAAGGGACCACTAGATCAGTGCCAAGGCCACACAACAGCATCTGCAATCCAATGAATGAAATCCAAGCATCGAGGTCGTTTCAACAGGGTTCACCCAATGAAAAAAGCGAAGGTTGTGCCAATCTCCAAGCCATCCACCACGGCTACTCGCGAACTCATTGGCATCATCAAGCGCGAAAGTGACCAGCTGGGGCATCTCAGGAGCAAATGATACCTCCAAAACTTGACCGGTCGTGCATCTGCCCTACCCCGTACAGTCTGACCAAGAGAGCTCTTGGACGTCTTGGGTCAGTAAACGCCTTGTCTTGCACAACTGAATATTGAAACGGCGCAGAGCAACTGACTTCGATGCTGCGGCGCCAAACGTGAGGAAACACAACAACTAAAAGGCCTGACCTCACACACCCCGCTATCCTCAAAACGGCTTGCAAGGTTCTTTTAAATGCTGCAGATTCCAAGTGCCTGATACCGGATACCTGAAAGGGCTTCCGTCAAACAACTCCAATGTACAAAATGCAACCGTCTGTCTGTTTGGTGGATCGCCTTCTGTACCTACAGGTCCAGCGCTCACCTCTGGCTATGCGTGGAATCCCAAGCTTTGCAAGTCGGGCCTTCTGTTTCGTAAAGCCCAACAACGCATTCATCCCACGCTGCTCATCTTCATAGGGATGGAGATGAAGCCATGCAAAATACCTAGGCTTGCTGGAAGTTGGTTCTAATTGTAACTCAATAGTTATCAATAAAAGCGCTTTCAGAAACAAGAACTTCTTCAAACTTTGTCCTTTCTGCCTTTGTTGTTTTGCACTTTGCACTTGCTTCATGATTGCTATGCTGTTGACTCCGTGTCCGTTGGCCGTGCAGACTTCACAACCGAATCAGCAGACCCGTCCAAGGTGCTTCGTGTACCATTTCGCAGTCTGAGCAGAAGAGCGGATGTAAAGCAGCCCTCATTTCATCATGTCTCCATGAAGAAGCTTTCGGAGTTGGTGAGTCAACTGACTTTTGGCCACACGACACAGTAAAAATGGTACCAGCATGCAAGTCACCCATGTTGAGGCAGTCTGAATCAAGGTGCTTTGTCATCAGCACGTCTGCCTTCTTGTGATCTGCAATCTCTTCCAGGTAAGCCCGCGCGTCTTGAAACCAGAAGGTGTCAAAATCGAAAGCAAGCCTAAGTCCAAGCCAATGACGGTCCAAAGAGTGCCCACCAATCAGCCAACCATGGACCACTTGTGAATGCAATTCAAGCTAGTCATGGTGTGACAATTAGTGTGATTAATTAGCAGCTGGTCAGGTTCAGGTCAAGCCGCACATCTACCCCCAAGTGCAGCAATAAGTGGATCATGGCGTGGCGCTGCAAAATGGAACCATGCTCATTCTCAAGACCACTCGAGTCTTCTTCCCTGAGTTGGATCTTTCGTTAGAGTTTGTGCATGAGCATGCAGGGGCTATGGAGGGTTCAATACTGAAACTGAAACAAAAAATGCCTGCCAAATGTTGAGGCGCAGGAAAGGATCCCAGCAAGTGACCAGGCCACTGCCAAATCCACCTACCGCCTGGGCCGCGATTGTGCAGGCATCGCGGCAGGATTTGCCCATCGATACCAACACTGTCGCCATCTTGAGCTTGTGCATCCAAGCAATAAAGCGTGGGATCATGCGAGACCATTCATGTCCCCAAACAAAGCTTGTGAGGAGCAGCTTCCTTTTGGCCACCTTCCGTTGACAACTTGGTACTTGCGGCACAGAATCTCGCCACGAGCATCCACGTTGGATACAGTCCGCCCTTGAGATTCCTGAGTGTCCACATTCTACATGCCCTGGATGCAGAGAGGACCTCAGTGCTTGCATGACAGCATCCAATGCATTTCTAAAACCTGGTCTCAATGAGGCTGTAATCCTCCAGTTACCAGGGGCAGCTTGCCACTGCAACCCGTCCATGCGGGAGAGCATCTGCGAATACATGAGGGCCTCCTGGTCTGCGCCGAATGGTAGGATCTCATCCCGTGACAGTCTCAAGTCGCCAAAAGCCCTGAAGTTTTTGAAAACTGGATGAGCACCTGCCCATCTGTAAACGTCAGATTGGAATCCTGGCAGCGCTTGGCCATATTCGGGACCCTTGGACAATATTGAGAGCATCGCCAGGACCTGAAAAATTGGCCATCGGGAACTTGAGATCGTGAAAAAGGGCACGTAACCCAGCATGCTGTCCACTGCAACTGCCCAAACATCCAGCGTGCTGGTTTGTCTTGCAGTAGCTGCAACTGTTTGAACCAAGCAAATAAATAAGAAGCCCAGAGTGCACTCATCTTGTGCAGCATCCCCGATAGCTGAAGGATCTTGAGCAATCTTTTCCAAAGCGGCAATGATAGTGGAGGTATATTCGGAAGAACCTTCCCCAGGATCCAAGCCCAGCATTCCTTGCTCGCTCCACTTTCCTGACACCTCCAATAACTGCTGCCAATCAATTCTTGTAGCACCCTGTTTGCAATCGCCGAAAGGTGAAGTCTGATGAGTTTGGTGAAAAGGCAGTGGCCAGCGTCGGAAGTGCTGCAAAGCTTCATGCACAGGCCAGCGCGAGCCCGCGATAATCAAAATAGGCAATTGTCCCAGCATGATGCTGAGCCTCTCGGCTTGCTTTCTAATCGATTCCAGCTTGTCTTGTTGAGATTCACCAATCTGGCCGTCCCTCATGCTATACATGCCCACCAATGCAATGTACACAGATCCCAAGGGGCACTCTTGCAAGCTGCTGTCGAAATCCTGCTCAAAGGAAGCCAGCAAATCCGCATGTACTCGAAATTGCGGGCCATCAGGTCCTGCAAGAGGTGCAGAAACCCACCAATTTGAAACTACATCGATGGCCTGCCTCCAACCCAATAGCGATGGCCTCCAACCCAATAGCGATGGCCTCCGACCTAATAGCGATGGCCTCCAACCTGATAGCCATGGGATCACCTGATCGCAATGGGATCCAAACTAATCGCGATGGCCTCCGACCTGATGGCGATGGGATCCAACCTGATTGCGATGGGATCCAACCTAATGGCGATGGCCTCCAACCTAATATGGCCTTCCAACCTAATAGCGATGGCCTCCAACACACTCGACTCAACTCCTCCAAAGCCCTCCAAAATCTGCTTGTGCACGTCGTCCCAGGCGAATGGAGTGCGCACTCCAATGCAGTCCCAGTTTTCAAAAAGAGTCAGCGCATACCTAGCCAGTCTTCAAGCGGCCCAGCTCTCACATTCAGAAGATGTGCATTTGGTGCCTTAGACCTCTGAACTACTTTGTCATCAACATCATGGCTGGAAGCATCACAAACGGTACGTGTATATATATATCTCTCTCTCTCTCTCTGTGTACAATGTGTGGCGGTGAATGGGTGAATGGTATGGCTTGCATACGGACCTGGGATCTGCGGCTGCCATCCTGCATAAACAAGAGCTCCAAGCACTTTCATCCGAAGGGCCCAGCTCAACCAACCAGCTGCATAATACAAACAACTCCTAAAGCCTCACATGTTTAAAGCTAAGTCTTGAGCCAAGGAGTTGCATGCATCAGCTGAGATGGAAGCATTTCTGCTATACACGTCCGAAGCCCCGCTGATCTTGGTGCATGGGGGCTTTCTGCACAAACACCACTGGGGACACAACTGCGCGGGCATCAAGTGCCACCTGAGCGGAAGACTAAAGTGCCCGCCTCCTGGGCCTAGACTTTCGAAAACCGGATTGAAAGTTTAAATCATTGTTCCTAGTATATAGCCTCTTGCTCCTAGTAGGGATGCCAGGAGCCCCTAGTAGCGTCCTTGCTCCTAGTAGTAAGGCCAGGAGCCCCTAGTAGCTTCTTGTTATGCCCGCCTCCTGGGCCTAGACTCAAAACTTTCAAACTGCCCGGCTGTCCAACTACTCTCAACTCTCAACTCTCAACTAACCATACCAGCAGGTCCAGGAGCAAGCAAAACCAACCCAGCCTGGTTGCGTAATAGCAGCAGAGTAAAACATACGCTGAGAATACACTTGGCTGTTGGTGCGCTGAGCTTGTGAACGAAGGCCAAAGCACACGCAGGAAGTGAATTTCCGGCACTGTTTGTACATGGTGTCAACTGGGTTTCAGGTGGAGCGTTGTTTGAATGCTATGGCGCCGTAGTGTTGGGCACGTTGCGCTGGCACCAGGCTACGCTCACACTGCCAGGCTACTTGCGAGTACGGTCAGACATTTGTTTGAGGCCACCATTGCGCAACTTTCAACAACCACAAGCACTAGAAGCGACGTGTGAGGAGGCCACACATCACTAATCGAAAACGCATATGTTGCATGCATGAGATCCAAGTGGTCACGGGCGCACTCGGACCCCACATGCCGGCCGCTACATGTCGGGCGACTGCATTGGCAAACCATGTTTGTATACTGCTTATATTTTTAGAAAACATCAAAGAGAACTGATAAGCCAACAGCCAACACAAATGGGAAAGCAAAATCGTTCGAAAGCAAGCAGTCTTGAAACTTATTAGCATGCAGCATGACTGAAAAAGAGTTTAAGGAAAATGTGGCTTCAGTCGAACATATGAATGGCACAGAAGTGTGGGAATCAAGAGTTATAATCTGACTGTTGGACTGTATATATAAACACGACCTCAGCTTATTTTCCCACGCGTTGCAGAATGTTTGTCT